CACTGTGTGTGGGGAGACGCTCACACGCCGAGCGTCGATTCTTCCACCCTGCCTCGTTTTTTGGAAGACGTGGGTCACAAAAGACGAGACCAGTTTCACAATCCGGCAGCGGGCTGCAACCTGCAGGTGGGAGAGCTTGCTCCCATGTGTCAGAAGCCTTGTTGTTTCTAGAACTTCCTTGGGCTCGTTCCCTCTGCCTAGAACGCGGTCTTCTGTGCCCCTCCGGGTCTCCCAGTCTGTCCTCCAGTGAGCCGGGCGTCTGCACACGTTGTCCGGGCGTCTTGGAACATTCCACACTTGGCTCAGTTGTTTCTGTCTCGTAAGCTTTGCAGACCGTCAGGGAGGGCAGACACTGTGCTGACCCAGTGATCATATTCCCAGGGGCAAGTATCACAGCTGCTGCCCTTGAGCGACGTAGGTGGTTGAGCTCGAGAGATGGTGCAGCACTCAAGAGCCCTTGCTGCTTAATCATGAGGACTGAGTTCAAATCCCATCGCCCCCACATGAGGCAGCTAACTTATGAGCACCTGTACCTCCAGCTCTGAGGGATCCATCCAGTGCTCATTTCTGGCCTCTGTGGACCCCTGCACACAAGGGCCCATACATCCTGATGCCCTAGGAAGGGAGACCCGTGTGTCTGTTTTGTTGTCTGTTTTTTAAAGTTCCTATTGGGTGTTGTGGCCCATGGCCTTTAACCCCAGCATTTGGGAGGTAGAGGCAGGCAGACTCTAGAGCGGTGGTTCTCAACCTTCCCAAAGCTGTGACTCTTTAATACAGTTGATGGAGGAAGGTCATTGGCTAATAAAGGCACTGCCCTGGCCCATTTTATTGGTTAGAGGATAGGTGGGAGGAGTAAACAGAACAAAATGCTGGGAGGAAGAGGAAGTGAGATGAGAGACTCGACAGCTCTCCTCTCGGGAGCAGACGCCTGAGAGAGACGCCATGCCCCGCTCCCAGCATGAAGCTCCGACCCAGGATGGACTAGGCTAGAATCTTCCCGGTAAGACCGGTTCTCACAGATTATTAGAGATGGGTTGATCGGGATGTGAGAATTAGCCTGTAAGTGCTAGAGCTAAAGGGCCAAGCAGTGCTTAAAAGACTACAGTGTCTGTGTAATTATTTTGGGGCATAAGCTAGCCGAGCAGGCAGCCGGGGTGCTGGGAACGCAGCCCCACCGCCCCCATTACTACATACAGTTCCTCATGTTATTATTTTCATTACTACTTCATAACAAATTTTACTACTGTTATGAATCATAATGTAAATATCTGTATTTTCTGATGGTCTTAGGCGACCCCTGTGAAAAGGTCATTTGATGCTCCACTAAGGGGTTGTGACCCGTGGGTTGAAAACCACTGTTTTAGAAGTTCTTCTGAAAGAAAAGAGGAGAGGTTGAATTATACAAGGCTGACTCTAGGCTCTCTTGATGTCCCTCAGGGAGGTAACCTTTGCTCATTTTTATCCTTGTAGGAGAAATGGTTGATCCCTGAAGGGTGCTTTAATACCCACAAATTAACACTGGTTTATTGTTGGGTTGCTATTGGTGGTTGCTGTATTGTTTCTATTATGAAACTGCAGCTTTCTAAAATTAGATACCTTTAAATGTTTTTTTTATGACAAAAAATAGATGTTCATTTTTAAAAATAGGATAAGGCAGGAAGTGGGAAAGAGACAACCATTTCATCCAGGGGACTGTTTATCATGCCATATAGTTCGTTAAACACACCCGCCCACCCCCTCAGTCTGCTCTCAGTACTGAAACATTCTCAGCTTCTGGAGTCTGTCACTGACCTGCAGTGATGGTTGTAACCTCTGGGACTTGAAAGTGGCCACCCTTCCCCTCCTCTGACTCTTTGCTGGTTGACTTTTATGAAGCTGTCACGCATGTGAGTCCTTGGGCTGCAAATACCCTAGGACCTGTCCTTAGTTCTGAAAAATGGTTGCTGATTGGTTCATCAGTTAAAGGTGGGGTGGGGCAGCGGCAGTGTCTTAATCTGGACTAGCACAAATGGACCGTGTGTTTTGTTCTTTTAAGGACTGTTTTCTGGAAGGTGGGGTGTGGGGGACAGAATGAGAGGTGTCCCTGCTAGGAGGAGAGTTGCTAGGGTCAAGTAACCACCCCAAAACAGCCGAGGCTGTGCTTCGGTTCTGGCTGTCTCTGCAGCTTTAACCTGTGAAGGGTGTGCCACTGAGCAAGGGCCACTCTGCACTGACAGCAGCTGCTGCTGTGTCCTCTCATGAATCCTCTGAGCTACTTTCTTCTGATATGTATGCACAGGTCTCCCCTCCAGCTGTGAAGCACACACAGCTGGTTCCTGAGTGGTCATTTTCTAAATACTGGTGCTTTTATTTTTCCAGTGGTTCTGATCTACCACTAGGTCAGCACTATGGATGCCTGGCCGTATGTGTATTAAGAGAACTAGCGGTGAGAGTGGGCTGAGCTAGTGTGACCTTCAGCTACAACCTCTCTGGAAGGACTTAGGTGATCCCATCCCCCTCCTGTTTTCTTAGGCTTTGTCATCTTCTCAGTAAACGAAAATAAAAGAATCCTGGCTAATTGTTTGGTTGATAGAGGGCTGTATTTGAATAGATTATATTCCCTATGTTCTTTGTGGGAGTGGGGTCTTGCTATGTGGTGGCTTAAGACTTGAATACGTAGCTCTTCATGGGGTGGGGGAGGCAAGTGTCTTCTCTGGTCACTCTGCACTTTTATCAACTGAGGCAGGCTCTCTCACTGAATCTGGAACCTGCTGATTTGCTCCATCTAGCTAGCCAGCTTGCCCCAGGGACCAGCTCGCCCTGGCGCTCTTCCCCCCTGAGTACCAGGGTTACAGGGGTAATGACCTGCCTTGTGAATGGTGGGGTCCCAGGTGATGGTCCTCGTTCTTGCATGGTGAGTATTTAATCTCCTGAGCCAGCTTCCGGCCCCCTCTCAGTGCTTTTTTTCTTCCTTTTAAAGAAATTACAGTTGTTTTTCTGGGGGAAGATGGTATGCCCATGGCATGTGAAAAATCTCCAGAAGTCAGCTCTCTTCTCCCATGTTCCTGAGCCGCAAACTCAGGTTGCCTTGCTGTTAGCCAGCGCCTTTGTCCACAGAGTTATCCCTTTGGCCCTCAGACCACTTTGGGAGAACCCCCATTGTAACAGACTTTGTGTTTGTTAGTCTTCCTTTTAGCTTCTTTTGTGATGCCTAGGTTAGTGTCTGATAGATCAGTAATGTCTGAGTTCTAGCAGACTGCTCTTCCCATTTTATTTGAGGGGTCTGATCTTTGGAATTCAGAGTGTCTTTTCTCTTAGTGGTACAGGAGAAATTGTGCTTAGACTAAACCTTGCAAAGTGGATTGGGAAAACCCTTATTTGCCTCCCAACTGAGCCTGGTAGGAAAGGGTTGAGTTCTCATTTGGTTTGTTACTGAGCCTTTCTTTCCCCTGGCCCCTCCCCAATGTGAATCCTCTATTTTATTTTAGCATGCATTTTTGTTTCATTACAGTTTGGCCCTCCTACTCTTGGTCTGTCCCCCCACCCCCTCCCCCACCCCTGCCTCAGCCTCTGCGTGCTGGAATTACAGTTTCTGCTCTAATAGGGACATAAACAATGTGAGGGGAGGCACAGTGGAGCTGGGCCTCCCTGCCCCTTTTGTATCCCCCAGGTATAAGCCTGAAAGGTCAGGGAGCTCATGTCCCAGGGATACTTTCATACACTCTTTATCCACCAAGGATGTTCCAGGTTTATTGGGGGACCATAATAGGGCTCTCAGTCTGCCGTTAATGAACCCGAAATGAGAAGTGGAGCTGCTGAACCCCAGTGAAGAATTGGGCATTGCCACTGAAAGCCTTAATTAGGAAGCGGCTTTTCAAATGCACTCTCTGGTAATCAGCTGTAACGTGGTGGGAGGTGTGGAGCTTGGCCTGATATGTAGATATTTGACCACGGGTGAAAGGGTGCCAGTTGTGGGAACCTGAACTTAAAACAAAACAAACAAAAACCTGAGAAGGGTATAGGGGAGATAATTACAGATAACCCAGCAATTTGGTATTTTTGTGAGATGGAAGCCAGTCTGACCTGGCAGTCTGGATGCCCTGGGACCTCCTGGAGTTCCCTGCTGTGCCGCCAGGTACTCCTGAAGTACCCTGACCCTGCTTCTTCCCTGTGTGTGTTACCCTTGAGCTGTTCTTCAAAGCCATATTTCTCCACACAAATGAAATACTTTGTGTTTCCTGTATGATCCTGGCTTGTTCAAGGGTCCGAAACAACCGCCGGTATTTACCGAAGTCTCGAATCGAGACATTTAGGATTTGTTCATGAACAAAACACAGGAGGATGAGGGGAGCTGAGAGGAGGGTGATGGGGCTGTCATGCATACAGTCACAGCATAGTCCGTGCGTGTGCGAAGGTGTGATAATGAAGCTCCCTTATTTTGTAATAAGGGTTTTTTTTGTAATAAAAGCAAATGAAATACAATAGCAGCTTACAAAACTAGTAATATATTACCACCAAAATACTGATAGTATTAAAGAAAAAAAAACAGCAAGAATAGGGGGCTGTGGAGTTATGCCCTATGTGGCTAGAACAGGATAAAACAACCAGAGACAGTGACAAATACTGAGCACACGATTCTAAGTGCACCTATGACTGATGCCTAAGTTAAGTCACATAAACTCCGTCACCCAGACATTAGGCTTCTCCTTTGCATCTCATAACTTCCTGTTCTTCTAACTGACTGTTGGTAGAGCTGGGGTTTGAACCCAGACATTTGAATCAAGGTTTGTGATCATAACTACTTGGTTCTTGCAGCTTTTCAAGAAACAGGGATAAGTCTAATTATGGTGGTGAATTAGTGCCGGGGTTGGCTGTCTTGTTGCAGTGGTTACAGTTATAGGAAATAGTTTGATCTAGCACCCAGTCATTCCGAAGCTATTCTGCCAGCTCTGTCCTCATCCCCCAGTCAAGGATGCCCCAGTGCCCTGGCATTCTCAGTAAAGCTCTTCCCTTTCCTCTAGTTGAGACGGGAGAAGATTGACCTGGAAAACACGCTGGAGCAAGAACAAGAGGCTCTGGTGAATCGGCTGTGGAAGAGGATGGATAAGCTGGAAGCTGAAAAGAGGTTTGTTTAGCCTTGGTTGCGTGCGTGTTTGTGCATGCGTGTGTGTGTGTCGGGGGGGAGGGTATATGCAAGTTTGGAGGACTCCTGGCTGTTGCTGTGGAGAACAGTGGGACATTTGAATTGCTTGGGTGACATACACCACCCTAACTTGTTAAAGGAAGTAAATGTTGATCTCTCTCTTGGCGGCCTCCTCTCTGAGCCTTGTTTTTCTCTTCCCTCCATAGCCAGAGTCGACCATAGTGCCACAGTTCCCCTGTTAATTAGTGCACATCTCTAAGATTCACTTAGTTGGAAGATTTTGATAGAAAAATGGCTAGCCATTCGCTTTTAAGCCTGTTGTAAATAAACACCTGTGGATGTTTAATGCTTGTGCGTTCAGTGTACAGATAAAAAGCGTCACCCCAAAACGGATGTTTTCTAAGTGACCTTGTTGCAGATTGCCTTGGTCCTTGTTTTTGATCACACTGCACTGTGCTTTGGGGTTGGAAGGGACAGAGCTTCTAAGAATGGCAGGAAGATCCTGTCTCAGAGCTTTGTGTGGGGTCAAGGCCAGTTTCCTTTGAAGTTGATTTCTTAGTTCCCTGCCCCAGAGTCTTGTTTGCCTCCCAGAAGCCTGTGCGTTGGTTTTAAAGCCCTGTTCACACTATTTTGAGTTCATGTAGAATTACAAACACCAAATCAACCTCAGAGTTCAATAAAAGTGAAAGTTTGAAATATGTGTCTAGGGGACTTCCTCCAGCCATAGGCAGTCAGCATTATGGTCGTAGTTCTGATAATCTGAATTAGGCAGTTATTTCGTGATTGCGACCATATTTACCTGTTAATTTTCTCAACTAGGGTAGAACGACAGGTGAGTCAGTTTGCAGTTGGGCGAACTGGAAGGTAAACAGTTAATTAAACACAAAGCAACTCCAGGAGCCCCAGTGGCTTACAGAAGGAGGTTAGAGTGTTGCAGTTAGCCTGCCCTTTTGGAATGCAGTTGAGGTTTTATGTACATATAAATGCATTGTTACTGAACTTAGCTGTAAGAAATGGTCATTATGTAGGCAAAATGCTGTTGACCCTTATCTTTAAGTTACATCTGAATGATAACAACTGAGTGCACCAGCTATTACCCGAAGAATTCTGATTTGATTTGATTTTTTTAACATTTTACCATTGGTCCCACTTGTCCAAACCTTCCCCACAGGTTTTTATCAGGAGGAGCTTTCCTGGCTCTAAGTGACTTCCTCTTCCACCGTGATTTATAGCAGTTCCTAAATTTCACCCAAAGCATCCTTTTCAGCCAGCTTGTTAACCACGTAGTCAGCTAGTGTCTGAATGTTGGCTGGACTCTGGGAATAATAACCAGAAAGGTGTTCCACAGACTTTATAGTTACAAATGACTGTCAGGGTCACTCAAAGAGCGGAAGGAACAGGGGTGGTGGCTCCGTGGGTCATATGTGTAGCACAAAGCCCGAGGACTTGAGCTCAGATTCCCAGTACCCACATAAAACTGGATACGCTAGCCCATGCATGTAATCCCAGTGTGCTCGTCAAGCAAGGTGGGAGGTGGCGACAGAATTCCCAGAAGCCCGGGCCGGTTTACCTTGCTTAGCAGCTGAGAGCAAGAGACCTCGTTATACACAGGGGTAAAGGGAGGGGCCACACCTGAGAGAGTCCTCTGACTTCCATGTGGAGCTGGCATGTGGACTAACACACGAACGTACAAGAAACAGAAGGGATGAGATCTGGCTGTGCCGCCTGTTTGACCTGGGGTAATTGTAGCTAAGGAGGACAGAGAGGTAGCGAGCTAGACAGACGGGCGTCAGTCTGTCCTACGGACGCTTTTCAGGCCAGCTCTCTGCGCGAATGTTGTGTAGTCTTTGCCGCAAACTGGTCTTCATTGTTGCTTTCTTTTCTTTCTTTCTTTTTTTTTCTCTTCCTGGCTGTGAAGAATCCTACAGGAGAAATTAGACCAGCCTGTGTCCGCCCCACCATCGCCTAGAGACATCTCCATGGAGATTGATTCTCCTGAGAACATGATGAGGCATATCAGGTTTTTAAAGAATGAAGTGGAACGGCTGAAGAAGCAGCTGCGAGCAGCCCAGTTACAGCGTACGTGGCCTCCCGTCCCCTCGAGTTCCTGTCCGCCGCATCCGTCCATGTACCAAGCCCACGTCAGTCCCCGTGCTTGCTGATGAGCTTGCGGTAGTCATGTTCACAGTGTGCTTTACTAGTGACGCGTAGGCTTTTGTACGCGTGTCCCTGTCATCTTGGGATATATATTTTTAAAAAGGAAGCTATCATAGCGGAGGGCCAATAATTTAGAATACTTCCAGAAGATACTTGTCATAATCTCAAGAGGGTGTCACTGAATTAGCGGGTTCCCGGGCATCTTCCTTCCTTCCTTGCTGAGATAAAATTCTCTACTTAAGGGGAAATGTGCTTATTTGGCACACAGATTACAGCTCCTTGTGACATGGGAAGTCACAGAGGAACTGGTCACATCACACTCTCGGTTGGAAACAGAAAAGTTGATTAATTTATATTTCTGCTCAGCTACCTTTCTAAAATACATATGGATATATGTATTTTTATATGTATATGCATACATACACATGAACACATGTATTTCATGTTATTTTGATTATCGTCACTGTTCTCTTCTCTCGCTAACTCTAGCCACACCCACCCTTCATCACCACACTTCTGACTTGGTTTCTGTGTATTCTTTAACTCCCTGACGCCGCTCGTGCTATCCAGGTCCTCAAGTGTGGAGCCATCCCTACAGCACAGTCAGCCTACCAGGGCCTGACTCTGACCCTGGACCTTAGGAAACCTGATTTGGAATGGTGCCACTCACGGGGCATATCACCCCACATCAGTGAATATAATTAAAATAACCCTTCCTTCCCACATAATTTTCTGAGGCCCTGTTCCACGTGGTTCTGTTACCGAATGTGACTGGGGGAGCGGGTCACGACCTGTAACTCCAAATCAGGTCTGGCTACCTGTCCTCGGTAAGGCAATAAAGAGGCCAAATTCTGGGTTAGATATCCCAGTGGCTAAGAGCACTGGCTGCTTTTCCAGAGGACCTGGAATCAATTCCCAGTGCCCATGTGACAGCTCACAACTGTCTGTACCTCCAGTTCCAGGTGATGCCAATGCTCATAAAGTTAAATAAATTTTAAAAATTAAAAAGCCAAATTTATAGTGGAAAGCAGAAAAGGAAGATTTAGTTAGTCACTGGCCACACTGGGGAAGGGGACAAAGCAAGCAAAACTCCCAAGTCTGTGTTCGGGGTCCTGAAGTGAGATAGACGTTTGCATAAATACAAACCAGTTTCAACACATTGTTCCTACAAGCGGGCTGTTTTCCATCCCCTTCCCAGCTTATGAACCACACAGAGTCTGAGTCCCAACTATTTCCAAGACTCAACACAAATTGAGAACTCAAGACCTTCAAGTGCTCCTGAGCCAGGGATGGAAGCTGGGGAGCTACTGTCACAGCTACACCAAAGAGGGTTCAGGCCGTCCGATATACAAAGTTGGAGACAGAGGATGGGACTGGACATTAACATTGACCTTTAAGCCTCACTGAGACCAGCTGAGCGATGCTGAGCTTTGCTGATGGCCTCTTTGGGCCAGCCTTTTCTGTCTTGGGGGGGCAAAAATCACACTAGCGTCCACAGGTGCCTTCAGCAAGATCTGCAGACCTTTAAGAGACCAAGCAGTGCAGTGAGTGCCAAGGGATGGGAGTAAAACATCCTTCCCTTGGACCACTGGGGATTGAACATTTAAGTAGTCCTGGTTAAAGTGTGGTCCCACCCATCATGGATGCATCTTTGTCTGGGTTTTCAGTCTCATCCTGTAGAGCATGAAATCTCTTCCGGGAAGACAGGCTTCCCTCCGCCTGTCACCTTTTCCTTCTCCCAGTATGAGATTCCCCTGGGAAATTCCAACTCCTTTGGTGCCCAGTGTTTCTGCTGTGGGAGTAAAAGACAAAAGTGTTTACTCCAGCCAGTACCACATTGACAATGAACCCTAACAGGCCAGGTGACCTTTGTAATCATGTTTATCTGTCTGATGTGCTAATGAGTCTATGCAGGAGCCCTCCCTGCAGCTCTGGAGTAGGAATGGGGCACCGTGAAGGGGGAAGGGTGTTTGCTTTCCTTATTGCTGCATCTAATCTCAGCTGACATTTGCGCGTGGTATTTGCAGAATAAATGCTTCTGAAATTTAGACTTAATATTTTGGAAAAGGCCAAGGTGTGGAGTGGAAATCAGGGTCCTGGGTTTTTGAACTTGTCTAGGTCACTTTGCATTTTTAGGGGTCTACACTCCTCCTGACGTTTGAAGACGTGTCTTTCTCGAAGTAATGTCGTGGGGGCAGGGCTTCCCTTTCACTGTGCCTGCCAGGCGAGCAGTTTGCATGGGCACATGCTTAGTGTTCTTGGAGGTGTGTGCATGCATATGAAATTGCTTCGTACCAAGAGTTGCACCATGAGCATGACCTTCTGCATCTCTCTCTTTGAAAACAGCTTTGTTTTGTTTTTCCGGGCAGGGTTTCTTGGTGTAGTACTGACTGTCCTGGGACTCGGGACTCGCTTTGTAGACCAGGTTGGCCTTGAACGCAGATATCTACCTGCATCTGCCTCCCTAGTGCTGGAGTAAAGGTGTGCACCACCATCACCCAGCCAAACCACTTTTGAAAACAACTAGTCCTGCAGTTCTTCTCCTGGCTACCTACACGGGCTGTCTTGGGCCCTCCTTAAGGGCTGACTGTTCTATATATTAAATGGTCATTGCAAGCGATCCATGTTTAAAATATTTTTTTAAAATATTTTTATTTATTTATTATGTATACAATATTCTTTCTGCGTGTATGCCTGCAGGCCAGAAGAAGGCACCAGACCTCATTACAGATGGTTGTGAGCCACCATGTGGTTGCTGGGAATTGAACTCAGGACCTTTAGAAGAGCAGGCAATGCTCTTACCCTCTGAGCCATCTCTCCAGCCCTAAAATATTTCTTATTGCATTTGTTTGTTTGTTTGTTTATGGGAGTGTGCACATGGCCTGGTGCTCATGTGTTGATTAGAGAACAGCTTGTGGGAGTAGGTCCTCTCCTTTCCCCGTGTGGGTTGAGGGATCCAGCTCCGGCTAGCAGAGGCTTGGTGGGAGCCTCTTACCTCAAGGACCATCTCACAAGGCCCAAGTGACCCTTATTGGTTGGACTCCAGCTGCAGTGAGCATGCTTGTGGATGCACCTTCTCTCCTGCAGCGCATTGCAAGTAGGGGTCCAGTGTTCTGTCTTCGATGGTACATCAAGATCGTGGAAGTCTTTCAAAAGTGCAGCGTGTTCTCTCTCTCATTGTTGCAGCAACAAGCCTAGGCACAGGCTATATATAAAAGCTCCCCTTTTGTTTTGGGCCACTTGGGGTTCCATCTGTGCCACCTCTTTGGCTCTTCTTGTAGGGCCTATGTCAGGTCCCCTTTTCACTGACTAACCCTTGTGATTATCTCACACCCACCCTGATAATCCAGGATTATCTCGCCATCCTGAATCCTTAACTTCATCACACCTACGGAATCCCTCTCGTCTTTGCTGTGTCACGCAGGAGCCTGTTGGGATGAGCCTGTGGGTGCCACCATCGCTCCTGCCAGCACTGGGTGGTTTCCGGAGTTCTTCCAGGACTAGACTGTAGTCCGCTGGCATGTTCGTTTTTAATCCTAGTCATTCTGAGGTATCTTAGGTAACTGCATGAAGCCCATAAGCTGGGTGAGCTAAATGAAAACGTTCTCAATACCAGTTTGTCTGGGCTGGCTAGGCAGTGTGTTTTTATCACTTCTTCCCAGGGCTCCCAGCTCACTTTCTCCTTCCTCATTCATGCTTGACTAGTTGGCTCCGAGGGAAGTATGCTTTATTCTCACCCTTTGCACTCACTGCACTGCTTGGTCTTTAAAAGACCTGCAGATCTTGCTGAAGGCATCCGTGTATGCTAACGTGATCCCCCCCCCCCCCCCCCCCCCGGACAAAAAAGCGCCTCGCCCAAAGAGGCCATCAGCATCACTCAGCTGGTTTCGGTGAGGCATCTTTAGAGGACAGTGTGTCCATGACCCGTCCTCTTCTCTGTCTCCAGCTTTCTGTGTCAGATGGTCCTGCATCCCCTTTGCTGTAGCTGTGAAGTGGGCCCCTCAGCCTCCATCCCTGTCATAAGCAGTTAATGGTCTCAAGTTCTCAGTTTGGGTTAAGCCTTCAAATCTGCTGGGGCTCAGACTCCCTGTGGTCCATAGGCTGGGAAGGGGATGGAAAGCAGCCCACCTGTGGGAGCATTGCTTTGAAAATGATTCAGGTGCCACCCTCATTGGATGACCCCTGTGGTTTGATTTCAGGAGGTACTAGACTATGAGGGCCATTCAAACAGTGCCCCCCCCCCACTAGACAGGGAGTGTCAGTGACCAGCAGAGGGCACCCAAGGAATGCCTTGATTCCAGCCTCCTGTGCCTGGGTCCGGACACTGGAGAAGTTGTGCTTGGGACCTGCGAGTACATCTGAGTTAAATAGATGTGTCAACAGGAAGTCCTAAAGTCCTATCTGAGGTGACCTTGTCTCTAAGTTAGCACACCTCTGCCGCAGTGTCCCCATATGCTAATGAATTGCCCTCCTTTTAGTTTTTTCTGTTATATTGTTTGTTTGAGACGAGGTCTCCCTGTGTAGCCAGGCTGACCTCGAACTCTGAAACCTCCTACCTTAACCACCCCCCCACCCCAGGTGCTGGGAGTACAGGCATGTATCCCATGTCCAGCCTGAATTGCGATTTTTCTTTAAAAAAACAATGTTTGCTCTTAAGTCACTGTCCTGGGAGACTTTGCTGTCTGTGGAAGAGAACTTGCTCTGTAGTCGCCACTCTGAGTTTGAGCAACATCAGGGCCACCTGGTAGCTCTCAGTGAGAAGTCTGCACACAGGCATGCTTGCGGAGACTTAATTTAAGCTGTCCATATTAAAAGTGAGCTTTGTAAGTGGTTTCCCAGCATCACTTCAATTAAAAAGACTTTGCATATGGATTAGGCAGCGGGGCTTCCGGCTGTATTCAAAACAGCCAGGAGGTTTAGTGTTTAGTCTACATAATAGTGTCTAATAATCTGAGTATTTTCATTTCTGAAGCAGGGCGAGTCCAGACTGGAGAGATGGCTCAGCAGTTAAGACTGCTTATTGCTGTCCATTTCAGTTCCTAGCAGCTGTAATTTCAGCACTAGGGCATGGGAGGGACGTCGTCTGGCTTCCATGGCCATTGTACTCTGCTGTGCAATACTAACACACAGACACACATCTACGCATGATTTAAGATAAAACAATTTTCTTACGTTAAGAAATACAGTTTAAGAGCTTTTGTATATTCTGCTGCATACTTAGAAATCCTTGAATAATTGTTATCAGAAGCCGTTATTGGGCAGGCGGGCTCAGTGGGTAAAGGCTCTTGCCACCAAGCCTGACGACCTGAGTTCAATCCCCAGAATCCACGAGATTGAGGAGCGAAGCAGTTTCCGAAGGTTGTCCACGCACACCTGGATGAGGTTTATATACACTTCATGGAGAAGAGTTGTTGTTAACTGTGTGTTAACTGTTTTACAAGAATGTTATCTGAACATCTTCTAGCACAGCATGCACGGAGGGTGACTCTCCACTCCCCAAGTGGCCTGTCTAGAGTGGACAGGCAGCCTGTCCCCCTAACTGGGCTCCCTTCTCTCCCAGCCTCTACCATGGAGGAGAAGGAAGTCTGACTGTCCTGTGGATGTGAAGACACCTAGCCTGCCAACACTGCCTGTTGTTAGATCACTTGCTAACTGTAACTCACTTGTGAACTTTGACGCCAAGGATTAATTTTAAGCCCTGGACTCCCGCTAGGGGAGGGGGCCGTTCCACAGGTGGGGTAATGATTGCACAAACCGCGGTTTAATTGCGAGCTGTGGCTTTTCAGATTCCGAGAAGATGGCCCAGTACTTGGAGGAGGAGCGGCACATGAGGGAAGAGAACCTGAGGCTGCAGCGGAAGCTCCAGAGGGAGATGGAGAGAAGGGAAGCGCTGTGTCGCCAGCTCTCCGAGAGCGAGTCCAGCTTGGAGATGGATGACGAAAGGTTTGCGTCTGTCCACCCCGCCACACACACACACACACACACACACACACACACACGAAAGGTTTGCATCTGTCCACCCCGCCACACACACACACACACACACACACACACACACACACACTCCAGTCCCAGGGGATCCAGTGCTCTCTTATGCCCCCTACAGGCACCAGGCATACATGCAGAAGGGCAGAGCTTAAATGTCACGTGGGGTCATGGTGATGAATACCCCACGCTGAAGCTCATGCTTGCTGTAGATGTGCAGGGCAGGATACTCCGCTTACGCTGGAGCAGAAAGTGCCCTTCGGAATGGCAGGAGAGGAGTGGAGGCAGAGCTAACATTTGTTTTGTTTTTAAATCTTCAACATTGGTATTTAAATGTAAGCAAAGTACTTGAGAAACACATTTGCTGCTGTTCCTATTTCTGGTAACGGGAATAAATAAGTTCACATACTTGGATACAAATACCACAGGCACATTTAGCAGGATTTCCTCCAAATCTTCTTTAATTGAATTGCAGACATTTTAGTGATTTTTTTCCCCCTTTAGTATATTTATGTTTCCTCCTTTGTCAGTACACAATGCCAAGCTTTTTTTTTAATTCCTTGGTAATTTCAAGCGTGTATATTAAATTTGGATCATTTTCATCCCCCATGACTCTCTCAATCTCTATCACTCCCCTCCCTTTCTATCCATCCTCTCCTGTTTTGATATCTTTGTTTTTAACTCACTGAGTTTAGTATTTAGCTCGTATATGCATCTGTGTCCTTCGGAAGTAACTGTGCTGTTATGATCTTAATCAGGAAAGCATCAGGCCATAGAATTGCAGAATGATCTGTGGGGGTGGACTTTGAATAGTGTTGAGTTTCCTAGAGACCGTCTCTCTTAAGTATATTATGTGTGTTGACCACGTTCACTTCACACCCTCCCCTTTCTCCACTTTCTTCCACCTGATTGGGCATCTTTCCATCCCTCAGCCCCCCTTCTGATTTCACGCCCTGTGTGTACATGTAAATGGCTTTGTGTATATGTAAGAAATCTAGAATCCACAAATAAGAGAAGACAGGATCCTTGCCTCCGAGTCTGGCTTAATTGACCTGCTTTGGTTTCCAGCGGCCTCTGCATTTCAGCAAATAGCCTAGTTTCTGTCTTCTTTACCCTTGCATAAGCTCCATGGCGTGGGCACACTGCATTTTCCTTCTGTACGGACCTCTGTGCAGAATCTGTAAGTCAGCTGTTGGGTATAGAACTGTAGAGCAGAGAGGTACAGGCCTCGCTGTGATTCTGACGTAAAGCCCTCTGGTAGCGGCATATCTGAGACAGGACTGTTCTGGGGTTTTTTTTTTTTTTTTTTTTTTTTTTTTTTGAGAAACCCTCCTACTGCTTTTGATAGCAGTTGGGCTGGCCCACATTCCCACCAGCAGCCAATGAGGGCTTCCTCGTATCCCGTCCCCACCAGCATTTGTTCCTTGTTTTCTTAGTAAGTACCATTCCAGCCAGGGTGAGAATCTCGGAATAGTTTTGACTGGAATTTCCCTGGTAGCTAAGGATGTTGGACATTTCATCGTAAGTTTGTTGACGTTTATAAGTTTTCTCCGAGATAGGATCTCACTGGGCAGCTCTGCCTGTCCTGAAGCTCACTATGTAGACCAGGCTGTCCTCAAACAGGTAAGGTGTGCCCCGCCACAGCTGGCCTGTCCTTAAGCGTTTAAGAACAACTGTTTATCTCATTTTCTTGTTTATTGATGGGCTTGTTTGGTTTTTTTAGTATTTATTCTTTTTAGTTCCTTATTCTGGTTGTCATTAACCGCCTGTTTGATATGTACCTGGCAAAGATTTTCTTCAGCAGTTTACTGTTTCCATTGGTTGTCCATTTCATAGCATCCCATTTACCAGTTCTTGATAGCATTTCCTGAGCTGTGTCTTTCTTTCCAGAAAGTCTCTGCCAATCAATGCCTGTGTCTTTTTTTTTAAGATTTATTTATTTATTATGTATACAGTATTCTCAGTATTCTGTCAGCATGTATGTCTACATGCCAGAAGAGGGTACCAGATGTTATTACAGATGGTTGTGAGCCACCATGTGGTTGCTGGGAGTTGAACTCAGGACCTTTGGAAGAGCAGGCAGTACTCTTAACCGCTGAGCCATCTCTCCATCCCAGTGCCTGTGTCTTAAAGTGTTTCCCCCAGCAGCTTCAGACTCTCAGCTCTTTAAAGTCTTTGATCTGTTTTGAGTTGATTTTTATACACAGGTTTCATTCTACCTATGGGGGTACCCAGTCTTCTTAGCACCGTTGTTAGAGAGGCTGTCCATTTTCCAGTGTGTATTTTTGTGCCTCTCTCAGAAAAAGCCAGGTAGTTACATGGATCTGAGTCTCCACCTGCTGTTTTTTTCATGTGCCTTACTGTTTTTATTAGTATGGCTCTATAGTGTACCTTGAAATCAAACACTGTGAACTCTGTTCCTTCTGCTGGGGATTGCCGTGATTCTCTGGAGTCTTTTTGCTTGTATGTCAACGTCAGGATCCTCCCCTGCTTCTATGAAGAATGCCTTTGGAACTTAGATGAGGACTGCAAATATCATTATAGTGATTCTGCATATTCATGCTAATGGAAACAACGTCCATTTTGGGGGAGCTTCTTTTTCAAATGGTTTTTTTTTTTAGAATTTTAAATTTTATCATTGTTGAGATCTGTATAACAAATCATTGTACAAATAGGATTCATTTGGTTTCTTTCTTTATTTGAATCAATTTTATTTCTTTATTTCTGTTTCTTCCTAGCTACGACTTCATGGCCATAATGAATAAGTGTGGAGAAAGTGGGTGTCCTTGTCACAGTTCTGCTTTGGGCAGCAATGATTTGAGGTTCCCCCACTTAGTGTTGTAGCACAAATATTAAAAACCCAGAGACAGATACTGGGGTTCAACCTGAAGATCAGAAAAGCACAGCAGCCAAGCCACTAGAGAGCTAGTTACTGCCTCATCCTGCCCTACATTCCTCTCTAATGCTGGGATTAAAGGCATGCACCACCACCGCCCAGCATTTATGGCTGACTAGTGTGGCTGCTGGGACTGAAGGTGTGTGCAGCCACTGCCTGGCTTGTATGCCTGACTAGTGTGGCTGCTTTGCTGCAGGCAAGCTTTACTTACTAAAACACAAATAATAGACCACCATGTGGTGTAATGTTGGCTCTCAGTTTGTTGTATATATCAGGTCTTTTATCATGAAAGGATGTTGGACTCTGGAGATGATGAAGTGATTTCCACATCAAAGACTGCTGATGTATTTATTGCTATGAGTATGTTGAAGCATAGTTGCATCCCTCGCATCCTTGCCCAGCAGAAAGGTATTGACTGCTGTTGTTGGGTCCTTGTGTGGTTTGGGTAGTGGCAGTGCTGGCTGTGTGAGCTGAACATGGCTGTGTTCTTCCCTTTCCTCTTGCATGCTGTCCTTGGAAGAGCTTTGATGTCGCTTCTCTGGAGGTCTGGTAGAACTCGGCAGTGAATCCTCCTGAGACTTTACTTTTAAATTTTTTTTCGTTGGGAAACTTTGTCTTACTAAGTTAGTCACATTGCTTGGCATGACTCTGTCAAGTTCTAAGTAGCTTACGTCTTCTCAGTTTAATTTTGATAAGTTGTGTGTGTTTCAGAATATGTCCATTTCTTATAGACTTGTCAGTGTTCTAGAGTATAGGTTTTCACACTGTGCTTGAATGGTCCTCTGAGTCTGATCGGTGTCTGTCTCTGGGTTAGTTTGGCTGAGGCTCTGTCAAACTTCCCTTTTCAAAGAACCAACATTTTGTTTCATTGGTTATTAGTAGTAGTTATTACTTCCATTTCATTAGCCTCTGTCCTGTTCTTGGTATTTCTGTCTGTTGAGTTTTGTGTTTGGCATGATCTTTCTCTTGAGGTGTATCATTAAGTTACTGAGTTGTGATCTCTCTGTGTTTCTCTCTCTCTCTCTCTCTCTCTCTCTCTCTCTCTGGGCATTTGTAACTGTAAACCATTGTATTCCTTGAGTTCTGATACTCTGTTTTTGATTTCATTGAATTCTGGGAATTTTTGATTTCCCTCCTGACTTCTTCTATAACTTATTCATCATTCAGTGCTGTGTTGTTTACTCTGTGTGACCTTTTGTGTTCTGTGGTCTCTCTCATTGCTAATTTCCTCCTTTGTTCCAGTGCAAACAGGTAGAATGCAGACAATTAGTTAAACTTTCTTAAGACTTGCTTTGATCCTCAGATTCGACCCATTTTGGAGAAGGGTCTATAGGCTGCCATGAGAATGTGCATCCGGCACTGTTTGAGTGGAATCGTCTTAGATATTTGTTTAATTCCATTTGATCTGCAATGCTCACTCTGATATTTCTTTGTTAGTTCTTTTGGTCCTGATAGCCTGTTGCTTGGTGAGCATGGGAACGGAAGTCTCCCGATACTGCCTAAGCGTGTGTGTTTACACCTGTGGTGTTTATATTTATGAAACTGCGCTCATCCTCTTTACCTCTCCTGACTTGCTCTCCATTGAAGTCTACTTTGCCAGATGTTTCAACTTGATTTCAAGTTCTGTTGCCTTAGAATGTCTCTTCCTCCCCTTTACCTTGATGCTCTGTTTGGCTTTGCGGGTAAGATATGTTCCTTTGTAGGCAACAGACAGATGGCTTCTGTTTTTTAATCCAATTTACTCCTCTTGTGTGCTTTGTTTGGATGGTTGGGGCTATTAACATTCAGAGTTAATATTGAAAGGTGTTTGTGCCTTCCTGACAGTTATAGATTCTATAACCTTTGGCACTTTGCCTTGCAAAGATCTCTGCTTGTTTGCTGTTCTAGTACATACTTCATTCTTCACTGTAGCCTCATGGCTATGTTTTTTTACTTTTCTCTTTGCTATGTAGAATTCCTTCAGGTATTTTCTATAGTACTGGTTTATTGATTATAAATTAGTTTGTGTTTATAATGAAAACTCTCTGTCAATTAAAAGGAATAGTTTTGATGGGTATAATAATGATCTGGCTTGCTGGTTAACCGTTTTTCAGAGCTTGTTGTATGTCCTCTCTGATTTTTCAAATTTCTCTTGAATAGTCTGCTGCTCTCTGATGGGTTTCCTCTTCTCTGTGACTTGATTCTTTTCTGTAAGTGTCAGTGTTAATTTCTTTGTTCTGTGTACTCAGTGTCTTGACTATAGGATGTACGAGGTGCTTTTCTCAGTATGCCTTTTCCATCTGCGTGACCCTTTCTTCTCTAGCTTTGCAGTGATTTTACTAAATGTTGTCTATGTCTTTAGCTCCAACTTCTCTTGTCTCCTATGCTGAAACAAGCGTCATATGGGTAACCAGAACAGCTGGTTTCTGTATCTGTACCTCGTTTTGACCCTCCTCCTTCATCTCCTCCTCTGTGCTTGTGAGTAAGGAAGTCATTAAGATAACTAACAAGTCAAAATAGAACAAGGATTTTGGGTGTGCAGCATTTACACCTGATTTATGGAATTAGCCTTCCACTGACGCAGACCATGTCTGACCAGGTGTAGTCCGGCTTCCCATGGGCCACATCTCAGGGTAAAAGGGAGACAGAGCCTCCGGAGACAGATGGGGACCCTCGCCGTGAGACCTGGCTTGCCAGCTAGGGTCTGTTCTATGAGAAGCGCTGTTTGCTGAGGATACATTCAGCTCTCCACCTCTGATTCTTTAGGGAAATTCAGACCAGAGGCCTGCCAAAGTATCCCAACCATTCCCCTCGATGCTTTCAAGAGAATTGATTTAAAAAAAAAAATATATGACAAGTTATATAATTGAAAGTTGCAGAAGTAAAACAAGTTGTCCCCTTTTAAGCATCTCCCTGCTTCCTCCCTTAAAGAATTGCTTCTCAAGAGATTGTGTCACAGAACTCTGATCCTTGCTTCTGAGCCTCATGCATCTGTTCTGCACCAGTTTCTCATTCTCAGGAAAATGGTTTGAAAATGTCAGCCCAAACGCAAAGCAGTTCACTGGACAGTTGAGAACATATTTGAAGACTCAGGGAAGACTAGGGTTGGAGTACCGAACACCTGGGCTGGGCCTTGGGGGTGGGGAGGGGCATTCTTGAAACGTGGCTCCTTCACACGTCCAGGTGGATTAATGCTTACTGCAGAAGTCTGTCTTAATTAACTCTTACCTATCATCCATCCATCCATCCATCCATCTATCTATCTATCTATCTAGGCAGGGTTTCTCTTTATAACAGATCTGATTGCTCTGGACCTGCTCTATAGACTAGACTGCTCTTAAAGTCACGGAGATCCACCTGCCTCCGCCTCCCCAAATGCTCGGATTAGTAGCTTACGCCGCCACACTTGGCGTTTTACTTCATTTTTGTTGTTTGTTTTCATCTGCTTTTAGGCAGGCTCTCGTGCAGTCCTGAGCTGTCCTTGGATTTTGACCTTTCTGTGTCCACCCCAGAGTTGGGATTACGGGTGCATGAAGGCACAACCCAGGGCTCCATGCTTGGTAGGCAGGCACTCTGCCAGCTGAGCTACATCCCCAGCCCTGCTTTTATTTGTTCATAAATTACTCCAGGTACAGTGGAGTTGCCTGATTAAGTACCACTCTGCCTCCAAGGACCACTAACAATGTGGTGAATCTCGGGGAGAGAAAGCTTCAGGCACTTAAGACCACTTAAAGGGGTGATAGTAACCACCTGCCTGCATGCTGTACAAGGAAGGGGCCTACCTGGTATTGCTGTGGTGGGATGTTCTAAAGAGGGGAAGAAGACAAAGAGGCCGGCATTTAACTGAGTGTGTCAGTCAGGATCTATGCTGGGAAACGGCCAAGTTAGCTCCTCCTCGTGTGAACTAACGCCAGGGCTGACTGTGCTCTGGGATGAAAGTACAGGCCTGTTTAACTTTTAAGGCCAGGGAGGGCGGTTTGTCAGGAAGTCTGTCACGTAGAAATTCTCTCCCATCAGCACTCTGTGGTCCTGATGACCCCGCTTGAGCACGTTCAGGACTGGCGTGACTTCTGAGACTCAGCACAGTGTGGCTGAGCGTGACCCACCGAAGGTGTTGCTGTTGTCAGTGAAATTCTAATGTGTGACCATCTGTTATGTAAAACTTGCCTTGCAGACACATGGCACTCAGCCCCAGAGGGCATATGTGTCTTTAAACTTAATGGGATAACTTAAATATCGGTGAGCTTATTTAGTTTTGAGCTTCAAAGAGCAATTTCAGCATAGAGGTATTTGGGCTTCAGGGATCACTGAAGGGACTTCTTCAAGCCTGGTCCTCTCTGATGTGTGGCATGGCTATGACAGGCCTCTGTCAACCTGGAGCAGTATGACCCAGGAGTCTGCACTCGTAATGTCCCCTGGGTCCACCCTCACCAACTCCCTGGGTTTTGACCTCAGATTGTGTGGTCACACCTTTGCGGCTAGGATGTCTTCTAGGGACTACTTGAACACAGGTGTTTCAACTCTCTCCTCCTCTCTTCTTCTAGGTATTTTAATGAGATGTCAGCACAAGGATTAAGACCTCGCACTGTGTCCAGCCCAATCCCTTACACGCCTTCTCCCAGTTCCAGCAGGCCTATATCACCCGGTGAGTGTAACCTCCACTACCAGGCAGTGTCTGGGGGATAGGGATTGGACCCAGGGCCTCACACAGGTTTAGCAAGTGCTCCCCACCGATTTTCAGCCTGCTCTTCTGGCATGTTTAATCGACAGCCCTGGTTGTGTTCTCTTCTATTTTGTGTTTTTCAAAAATAAGTCACTGTCAGTACTGAGTGTTGGCTTGAAGATCTTAAACACGAGAACTGTGTGTGTGTTGGGGGGGTATATTACTACTTTATTATTATTTCTCTTTCAACTCTTTTTATTTCTGTTGTTAAAATGTTCTGCAAGGCAATCTTACTACATTCGTGTAATGGTACCAAGATCTTCTCAATAGCTTGTTTGGATGTATCTAAATCAGGAATGGGCAGTAACTAGGTCTAAAAGCAGCTTTGTGTCCCCAGTAACAGTTGTGAGTGCATCCAGAAGCCAGATTTGGTTTCTGTCTTCATTCTCAGTTAAAAGGAACTTGGGCCACTTGGAAAGATGGGTGTGTGACATCTTTGCAAAGTGAAGAATTTCTCAGAAATAATGGTAAGGCTGTGACAGAGAGTCAGGAGTCCCCAGGTACCAAAGCCAGGACAGTGTGACCAATAAACACCATGGACAGCCATGACCTCAGCAGTGGGCATCAGAAACCGCAGTACTTCCCAGTAGTGTTATTCCCTAGCGGTTTGGGGACACTCTGATCTCTCCCATTGAAATTCTTACAATGTGTCCCTGTCCTTAAGCTGTGCTGTTTTCTGCTCAGCAGCCTCTGTGTGCAGATTTCCAGGTTCATCAAGGGTTAGTTGCTGTTGTTACTGTTTTATTCTCTAATGTATTCCTGGGCCAAAAGGTGAGGTGCATGGTTATTAAGATTTAAGAGAGAATAAAAAATAAGTTCCGCTGACTTAATATTACGTAATCAATAGGGCCCTGGGAAGATAGTTAAAAGAAAATACACTGATAACTTATTGAGGCCTTTCGGTCATCTGAGCTTTCAGTCATATGAGGGAGTCACCTCAGTCTGGTTTGCTCATGGTGGGATTTATAGCACAATGAGATGAAATGATATGTCCTTGTGGCTCAGTGCCAGATGGAAGATTGTCATCACTGTCCTGGATTCCCTTGATTGATTGATTGATTGATTGATTGATTGATTGATTGATTTGGTTGGGGTTAGGGTTAGAGTTGGAGGGCTTGGTGTTCACAGTTGAGAATTACTGGCCTAGAGCATCAGAAGGAAGAAAGAGAGAGTGGATGGATGGATGGATGGATGGATGGATGGGCGGGCAGACAGTCAAGCAATAGAGAAACTTTGAAGATTCATGGTTAGACCAAGCCGGTGCCTTAGGAAGACAAGGTGAAACAGCAACACATCTTTACTTAGTTAAACAAATCGAGCAAAAACAAATACAATGCGCCTTCACATAGTTAAAGTAGTATTCTACAGCAGAAACAGATGTAATACATCTTTGCCTGTGTAAAGTACTATTCCACAATGCATGTATGTATGTTTGTTTGTTTTTACCTGTGGATATGAAGTTTTCCCAACACCATTGAAGAGACCATTCTTGTCATCCTTTCTGCAGCTCGTGGCCGCCATCTAAAGGGTCATTTGGTGGACTACGACCACGTTCATGTCTGGGATTACTGTTCGACTCCTGTGCCCCATAGTTGTTTGTTTTTATGCCCCTTGCTACCCACCGTGCCCACTGAGTGGCCCCCCGCACCTTTGCGTGTCTGTTTTTATTGAAGAGTTCTCTAGAGGATACTAGACAATCCGGCTACAAATAATGCCGAACCTCATTGCCCTTGGTTGTGTTTCAGGCCTTTCGTACGCGAGTCATACGGTTGGTTTCACACCGCCAACCTCGTTGACCCGCGCCGGGATGTCTTACTACAACTCTCCAGGCCTCCACGTTCAGCACATGGGAGCCTCTCACGGTATCACGGTAAGTGTCTTTGCTGGGCACCCGCAGTAATAAGAGTGGCGGGGCTGCGTCTCCAGCACCCTGGCTGCCTGCCTGGCTAGCTTATGCCCAAAATAACAACACACAAACTGTATTCATTTAAACACTGCTTGGCCCATTAGCTCTAGCCCTTACAGGCTAATTCTCACATCCCGATCAACCCATCTCTAATAATCTGTGAGCACCGGTCTTACCGGGAAAGATTCAGCATGTCTAACCTGGCGGTTTGCTTCATCGCATGCCTCTGCCCGGGAGAGCGGAGCATGGCATCTCTCTGAGGCGTCTGTTCCCGAGAGGAGAGCTGTGGAGTCTGAGCTCACTTCCTCTTCCTCCCAGCGTTCTGTTCTGTTTACTCCTCCCACCTATCTTCTAACCAATGAGGGCCAAGCAGTTTCTTTTTATTTAACCAATGACCTTCCTCCATCAGGTATGAGGAACACTACCTTGTTTATCTTGTTTATGTTGTCCCAGCTAGTTCAGGAACCACTAATGATAAAGAAGGAACCCATGGCTTCCCCCCCCCCCCCCCCCCCCCCCCCCCCCCCGAGACAGGGTTTCTCTGTGGTTTTGGAGCCTGTCCTGGAACTAGCTCTTGTAGACCAGGCTGGTCTCGAACTCACAGAGATCCGCCTGCCTCTGCCTCCCAAGTGCTGGGATTAAAGGCGTGCGCCACCACCGCCCAGCAGAACCCATGGCTTTTATGACCCTTGTTGGCCTAGGTTCCATCCTCCTCAGCCCCGATTCTGACTTCGTTGGACTTGAACTGATATCCCAAACGGACCTGTTGTCCCTGTGTTCTCCTTACAGAGGCCGTCGCCACGGAGAAGCAGCAGTCCTGATAAATTCAAAAGGCCCACGCCTCCTCCATCTCCCAACACACAGAGCCCAGTCCAGCCACCTCCGCCACCGCCTCCGCCCCCCATGCAGCCCGCGGTCCCCACGGCAGCCGCCTCCTCGCAGCCTGCCCCGTCCTCGCAGCAGCATTTGGTGCACCCCTCTTCCCAGCCTTAATGCATGAGCTTAGTCAGAATTTCAAGTCGGGACTTGTCTGATGGAGCCGCCTTCTCAACGCCAAAGGCTTCCTTCCTGGCATATTTGGATCTGATGTGTTTGCACTGAGGTTGTCTAGCTGCCCTCCTCGTAGTGTCGTGAATGTTCGTCGGAAACGCAGCCGGTGTTGTGGGTCTACAACACTAACCAGATGACTTTCTTTCCATCGGTGTTTTACTTGAATCTCCGTGTCCGTCATTCCCTGGCTGGAACATTGCTATCTGGTATTTGGTCATAAGAAGCAGTGTGCAAAACCCCACACCCTACGCCCGGCCCCAGGGCTTCTCTTCTTGGCTTTTAGGTCTGTAAAATAGGAAGGGAAATCTTGTTTTAGATTGTTCCTCTGTGAACTTGCAGGAAATTACTAAGCTGTTAGTAACCCTCGTCCACCAGCTCACAGGGGAGTTTACCAAACTATCCCAAGAATTGAGCACTACAAGTTCAGACCTTTGCAAACCTAACTCTGAGTATAGGATAGGAAGTGAGATGGATCGGTGCCCACAACATGTCTAGTGTAGAGCTTTCTACAGACACACTTTTTACAGGTTGTTTTTGATGTAAATTGTCTCTTGTAAAGCAGCCTACAGAAACAAATCACACAGCTGTAGCTTCTCCCCCTCGCGCATGGGGAGATGCGATTCCTTTCCTTTCTCCTCCAAGTTAAGCCGCCTAAGCTGGTCCCCTCTGCCGTGAGCGGGTAGATGCCTTCCCTCTGGTCATCTTGATGGGTGACTCCAATGCTGGCCTACTGCAGGGGCCATGAGATTGTAATAGAGCCGAAATGGTGACCCCCCCCCCCTCCATTCTTTTGTGCTGTCCTGAGCCAGGGTGAGCAGGTATTTCCCAGGTACAAAATGCTCTTAGGAAATACTGTATGAAGTGTAGGTGGCATCTTAGCGTGATGGCCAAGGGGCACTTGACAGAGAGGAAGCGTAGCCAGCAAAGGAGCTCATTGGCCTTGCTGGCAACTCACGGTGCCCATTATAAGTTAGCCAGGAGAGCACCAAGGAGGTTCTGAACACGATTGCCATTCATTCAGCACAAATCACTTGGGGTGGAACACTTGAGTGGCTCTGTTACCACCTTCATTTCTGTTTGTCAGCCGTTACTTTGTGCGTTCGTAGTCAAGTGCTTTTTTTCCTGCCTGTGTTTGCATATTTATATATGCCGTGGATGAAAATAACTTACTAGAGAATGTATATTTTATGATGAGAAACGTGAATCTGTTGGATATAATCAGAGAACTGAAAATTAATTTATCAGTCATTTTTAAGAGTTTATGTTTGTGACAGCCATCTCCAATAGCGACTCCTCACGGAACACACTCCCGAGAACAAGGAAATACCCTGGTGACATTGTAGATACTTAATATTGTACAGCCTAGGAACCTCCATTTTTGCCTTCGAATGCATATTTAAGAGTTAACAGAATGAAAAAGGCGTTATGGGATGACAGTGTTGGATGGCATTTTAAGAACTTGAGGACAAGAACCACCGTAGGACCTTTCACCTCTTCTCTTCCACCCCTACACTGAGAATGTTACCCTCCGACGACCAGGAAGAAACAGTCGGTCTGTGAAAGTTTTATTTTTAAGGTGTGTGTGTGTGTGTGTGTGTGTGTGTGTGTGTGAGTGTGAGTGAGTGAGAGAGAGTGTGAGTGATGTACCGGCCATGGCCATGGTGCCGTTATCAGACCCGGGGTGGAGGCTGGTGCTGTCAAGGCGGTAGGTTTTCAATGTCAGACTAAACCCGGGCATTTCTCCAGCAACTCCCTGATCCTCTTGGTACATGACCATTCCAGGGAAATTCTGAGGCTAGGGCAGAAGAATTCTTCCTTCACGGTACAGTCTTGAGTTTTTTTTTATTTTATTTTCCCTGCGAGAGAAATTTGGTATGTGTTTACAAGACTTTTCTGGGATTGTAGATTTCACACTGCTGGCTCGCGGCTTATACTCCACCACACAAGTCCGTTCTGTAAAGATCTCTCCTCCGCTGCCCATCAGCCTAGTTACCTCCTAGAAGCACAAAAGTGAAGGCTCTGCCGTGCGGCAAGCAGAGCCTCTCAGAGCTAGGTTCTTGGCGTTCAGACTTGTCTTGGACAATGTCCCACAGATTCCTCTAGACCCATTCCTTCCCTCGAAACGTTCCCCTCACAGCACTTTTTAGCATAATCCAGTTGCTTCTCCCTGCAGGCAGCAAGACCAACAGAACAAACACTACACCTGAATTTAGGATACTTCGTGTTACTTTGGAAGCCGGCAGTGATAGGAAAGAGAAGGAGCTGCTGAGCCCCCAGAGACAGGAGCCTCCGTACTGCGGGAAACCCATCCTAGGTTGGTTGGGGCTGGACATGGCGTTTTGGGGTTCAGTTCCCATCTCTCACAGGCTGACTCTGGATTAAAATCAGTAGCCATCCTCAGCAGGTGAGAGCAACAGTACCTTCGGTGGCTCCACCTCCTGTCGTGTTGACAGAGACCCTCGGGTACCACTGTGCTGCTAATAGGTTGAGGGTCTCTTCCCAGATTCCCTCGCCTTCATACAGAACCCAGTCCACGCACCCAGCGCCTCTGGGCTCTGACCTGCTTTCTCTTGTCAAGCGTGCTGGCCTTCTAAACAGACTTCTAGACCTTTGGCCAATGTGGAAGTATTTAGGATTTTATGTATACGTCTTGGTTGATTGGAAAGGAGACAGATGGTGGGTGACCGTGGAATGAATGTGTGACCAGAATGTGGCTTTGACACCTCATGCTGCTGTGCCTTTGTCATTGGCTTCTGATTCGACCAGATGTAATTAATAATGTGAATTTTTGTTGATCCTTCGGCTGTAGGAAAGCAATGTGTACCCCCCCCCCCCATTGTTGGGTAGGGTAGACATGATCTTGCCCTGTACAAAGCTCTGCTCTTAAAGATAAACCCAGGAAGACAGGATAAAGCGTGGCGATGCGTGCTTCAGAAAGGGTGTTTTTTTAAAAGTGTTGGAGACAGTTTCCTGTGTAACTTTACCTTCTGTCTAGTACTTGTCTCATAGGATAACCAATGCTGACAGCTTGTAGTGATGACTACCAAAGACATGTGTAGTAAAGCTTCAATTTCCAACGATTAAAGAGCCTGCTGTTGACGCTGTTCCCTGGTTCCTTCTCAGGAGCCATTGGGAAGGACTAAAAGAGTCTTGGGGGTTTTTTGTTAAGTTTAGGTTTTTTTTTTTTTTTAATTTTTTGATAAAAATGTGTTAGCCTATCATTTTGGGGAGCATTTTCCGGAATCCTCAGCAGTTGTGATTACTGGCCACACCCAGGTTGCCTCTCCTTGAGTGATCAGTGGGATCCTCTGTGCGTGCTAGCATGGGTGCTGTGTGTGTGCACGTGTGCGTGTGTGCATTCATGCCTTAACTTGGGTTACTGCTCAACTTTGCTGTTCGACTCGGTCCTCATCATCATCAGATTGTATTGTGCATCTTGATCTGAACTTCATCCTGGCAAAAATAAAAAAAATAATAAAAAAAAAAGGTTGCAGGCGCCACAGGTTGGAACGCATAATGCATTCCTTCGGAAGACTGTCCAGTCAGATGCACCCTCAGTTGTTTCCACAGACTTTTATTTGGGACTTCGTTTGGAAAGACAGCAGACTGTCAAATGGGAAGATGTCAGCAAGGAAGAGAGGAGAGCCAGATGCTAGCATGTCCTCTGCCTCTGCACACCCATGTGCTCTGTGTGTTGTTCTGCTAGCCTGTCTACAACTTGACTAGCTTGGAGTTCAGGTAACGGTGGCAATCCTGACCTTCTCTGTCGGAGTTTAGAGAGACGTAAGATGTCCAGTTAATGTCTTATTTCCTTTATGTTGATCAGTCTTTAATACATGTGCTGACTCAGAAAACCTAAATAAAGATAATTTTTTTAAAATGTACCTCTTGAACCGTAAGCTTCCCTCTCGTCCTTTCTGGTCTTTTGAGTTGGAAACGGTCATTGTTTGGTGTTGGTTCCAGCAGACTTTCAAAGTAAAACCAATTATAAACTCTAAAGACATCCAGAGGAAGTAAACATAGGAAGATGGCATAAATGGGACTAGTGTGGGAAAAAATTGTGGATATTTTTCTGCACGTATGTCCACGTACTACATGAGTTCAGTGCCTGTAGAAGACAGAAGAGAGCATTGGATCCCTTGCAACTAGAGTTAGAGGAGGATGTGAGCTACATGGGGGTGCTAAGAACTGAGCACAGGTTCTCTGAAAGAACAACCAGTGCTCTTAACCACTGATAGGGCCCATGGTTTTGAACCTTTATAGAGTGCTTGCTGCCCCAATATGCTATATTTCAAGTTCAAACAGTAAACCTAGAGGTGTGTGTGTGTGTGTGTGTGTGTGTGTGTGTGTAATGGAAAGCTACCTCCCAAAATATCACATGGGGGCCCACATGCACAGGCATGCACCATAAGACATGTCAGTGAATGATGCATCAGCCTGAAAGCCTACAGTAATCTGGACAGCCAGGCTGTTGTGAAATGCTGTGTGTTGGACATGTATGTAATAGACCTGGTATGGATAAGCCTGTGACATCAACCCTATGTAAACATCACTCATTGTTACTACAGTGTGTAGTAAGCAGTAAGTGCATTTTTTAAAAAATGTATTCTATTTATTAAAAAGTTTACTCTTGGGCCTGTGAGATTGCCCAGTAGATAAATGTATCTGCTGTAAGCCTGGCATCCTGAGTTTGAACTCTGAGACCCCATGTGGTCGGAGAAAACCAACTCCTGTTAAGCTGTCCTCTGACCTCCACATCCCTTCAGTACACACATATACAAAAGCAATAAAAGGTAGTGACAAAACTGTTCTTTAAAACACACTTCAGCATTGTTCCAACCAGCCATGGAACCGCTGGACCGCCTTTACCCATTTGAATAAAGGCAACTCTGGGAAGAAGGTCCCTCCCTCTCTACATCCAGGATTTCTGTGCTGTGTTTCAGAGTCTTGGGAGGCAGCAAATAAATGGCCCACCCTGTGCTTTGTGAGGGATTCCAGCAAATGGCACAAGTCACCATGGTGAAGTCAGGGAGCCTGGGAGGTGGAGGGAATAACCATCTCATCATCACATATTGCTGATTCTCTTGAAAAAGTCAAGTGCAGGAAGGCTGCTATTGCCCAGTCATTGCGGGCTGAGGGGTCCGTGCACCTGGAGAAGAGAGCCCCCGCCCTCTTCAGAGCCAGTCTGCCTGCCACTGTAGTTACTAAAGCATGGACCTGCAGACTCTTGAGGTCCTGACCTACTTGGAAAGGACATAGGTTGAATACGGGAAGTCCAGTACAGCCAGTTCTTGTGTGCTCATGGGAAAGAGGAACAAAAATTAAAGCCTGCCTTGGAGAAAGGCACAGACCAGACGTTCCTGGACTCATATCCAAATAATATAAGACAAATACTGCAGGGAGCCGGACAGGATCGCCATTACAAGATGGCGCCAACATCCTGTCTTGTTGGAAATAAACAACTCCATATTTGGCTATGCCTTTGAGAGCGGCGTGTCCCCCGCTTCCCGTATGCGTTGGATAAGGGTCCTTGAGCCTATCCCGATCACAGGGCGACCCGTGTGCCAATTCCCTATTTAAGCAGCTGCCTCAGTGCCCTCGGCCCCTCGCTTCCTGCCCTTCCCTTCCTGCCCCTCGTTTCCTGCTCCTCTTGCTTCCTGCTCCCCATCAATCAAGGGCATTCCAGTAAAGTGTGATCTGAGTAGAATCCTGGTGTGGTGGTTGTTCTTTCTCGCCGGTCAAGAGGTTTGCCGCAGCTGGTGCTGAAACCCCGGGATCTTCGGTTGCCAGGCGAGGGGCCGAAGAGGATTCAGAACTCAACACTTGGAGTGGCGATGTCGGTAAGTTTCTCCCAGTATGCTGATTTCAGTCTCCCCAAGTATGCTGTTTGCGGGAGTTGATTCTTGGGTGTTTGGTCTCGTGTTCTTGGCGTTTGTGGTGTTTGTCCTAGCCTGCTGTTTCTGGTTGTGCTGCCGTCAGTCCGGCTGCAGCCTCAGGGAGGAGAACAAGGTGGACGTTCCGAGAGAAGGGCGGAGAGCCCTCAGTAAACACCAGGACAGTCTTTTAAAATCAGATTCAAAGGGAGAAAACTTGGATAGGCCTAAAAGAATAAAGGAAAAGGTAAAAGAAAAGGATCCTGATACAGTCCTCCCTAAAGGGGAGGCAAATGAGAAGAGGGGAAGTCCCCTCTATCCAGTGCTCGAGGAATTTGCGGGCTTGAATCAGTCTGAGGAGGAGTTAGACCCTCAGGAGGAGGAAGAACTGGAGGAAGCCGCAGCTAGCTATGAGGAGGAAAGATATGGGTGGACCCCCCCCCCCCCCCCCCCCCCCCCCCCGCACATAATGCGTCAGCGGGTGGGGGGGGTAGGTATGGGCCCATTGGCGCCTCGGGAACCACACCCGCCCCCTGGGCCTCCATCCTATTCACAAGTGGGAGGGGGATGCCATTTTATTAAAAGAGATACATGGGCACGTCTAGCATCTGCATTTCCCGCAGACTAATGAGAGACATTATGAGCCTGTATCTTATAAACAGTTAAAGGATTTTAGTGGAAGCAGTTCGAACCTATGGAGTTACAGCTAGATATACCATAGCCTTGCTGCGTAGAATCGCCACCACGGCCATGACTCCTACAGATTGGTTTGAGATTGCTAAGGCTTGCCTAAGTATGGAACAATTTTTGGATTTTAAATCCATTGTTACAGATAAAGCTCATGTCCAAGCTAGAGTAAATGCCCAGAATAATCGTCCCCAATGGACAGCGGATATGCTTTTGGGGCAAGGGCAATGGGCTGCCAACCAGCTAGGATATCCTCAGGAGGTGTACCAATAGATTAATGATATCTGCTATAGGGCATGGAAGTCTTTGAATAATAAAGGAGAAGTCAAAGGCCACCTAACAAAGATTATTCAGGGGCCAAATGAACCCTTCTCTGATTTTGTGGCTAGGATGCTTGATATGGCTGGAAAGATTGTTGGGGATGTGGATCAGGTGATGCCGTTGGTACAAGAGATTGTTTTTGAACAGAGTACTAAGGAATGTCAGGGGGCCATTACTCCTGTTAGAGAGAAGGGAATTGAGGCTTGGCTGAAAGCCTGCCGAGAGATTGGAGGGCCCCTTACCAATGCAGGCCTAGCGGCTGCTGTTTTATCTGCTACTCAGGCCACAAAGACCAGAAAAGGAGGAGGATGTTTCAAATGTGGACAACAAGGGCATTTTAGGAGACAATGCCCGTTACTGAAAGGGCTGTCTTCTCGGGCTCAGACTCCTAATGTAAGACAACCTGGCCTTTGCCCAAGATGTAAGAACGGAAAGCATTGGGCCAATGAATGCCGGTCTCTTAAGGACATCAATGGGCAGCCCATTGTACAGCTCGGTGGCCAGGAGTCAAAAAACGGGTTGAAGGGCCCCCGTCCCCAGGGCCCGAAAATTTATGGGGCACTGCAGCAGACCATCATTCCCAACCCGACTGTATCCGCCGAGCAACCTCAGGCTCAGCAGGGTTGGACCTCCGTGCCTCCACCGGACTGGTATTAACCCAGGAGATGGGAATTCAGGTGGTTGATTCTGACATGTATGGCCCATTAGAAAAAGGAACAGTGGGGATGTTTTAGGACAGTCCTCAACCACTATGAAAGGCTTGATTGTCTTTCCAGGAGTCATTGATTCCGATTATACTGGAGTGATTAAGATCCTGTGTCATTCTTCCTGTGGCGTGATTTCTCTTGCGCCAGGGGACAGGATTGCCCAACTGCTTATACTACCATCTAAGCATGAGACCTTTCCTGCGCATCTTAAGGAAAGGAATGACAAGGGGTTGGGCTCCACTGGAGTGGACCTTGCCTGTCTATCTATGGAACTAGATCAGAGGCCCATGTTGGATTTAATGATAGAGGGAAAGATATTCTCCGGATTGGTGGATACTGGGGCAGACCGGAGTATCATCCAGCTGCAAGCCTGGCCTAAGCGCTGGCCATTGCAACAGTCATCTCAATCCTTACAAGGGCTGGGCTACGCTCGCATGCCATACATGAGTGCAGAAGAGCTGGTCTGGAAAATGGAGGACCAACAAGGCACGGTTCAACCCTTCGTGGTTGAAGTCCCCATTAATTTGTGTGGCCGTGACATTCAACATCAATTGAAACTTAAGCTAACTAATGATTATTCAGAGGCTAGTAAAAGTATGATGAAAAGACAAGGTTTTGTTCCGTCTAAGGGCCTGAGGAAAAATCTTCAGGGTTGTCACAGGCCTATAGAGTCTATGAAAAAACAGGATAGAAGGGGCCTGGGTTTTTCCTAGGGGCCACTGAAGAATTGGCTTCCAATAACAGTCTTGTGCCCATACCCTGGGAGTCCAATAAGCCGGTATGGGTTCCTCAGTGGCCCCTTTCTCAAGAAAAATTGGAAGCTGCAAATAACCTGGTTTTAGAACAATTACAGCTCGGGCATGTGGAGCCTTCTGTTTCACCTTGGAACACCCCTATCTTTGTTATTAAAAAGAGCTCAGGAAAATGGAGATTATTACATGACTTGCGTGCAGTTAATGCTCAGATGGTTATGGATACAGTCCAGAGGGGACTACCCTTACTCTCTGCCTTGCCACATAGCTGGCCGGTCATGGCCTTGGACATCAAGGATTGCTTTTTTTCCATTCCTTTGCATCCAGATGATAGGGAGCGATTCGCATTCACTTTGCCATCGGTTAACCATGAGCAACCCAATACTCGTTATCAATGGAAAATGCTTCCACAGGGGACGGCCAATAGCGCGACAATATGCCAGCTGTATGTAGCTCAGGCCCTCCTATCCGTTAGACAACAATTCCCAAAAATGAGAATAATTCATTACATGGATGACGTCCTGTTGACTGCCTCTTCGCAGGAAAT